GAGGGACTGGTGGTAAAGGGTACGCGGAGGGGTAGAGGTAGGCCTAGGAAGTACTGGGGAGAGGTGATTAGACAGGACTTTGCTCATCTTCACATCACCGAGGACATGACTCTAGATAGGAAGGAGTGGAGGTCGCGTATTAAGGTTGAAGGTTAGTAGGGTTAGCGTGTTGTCTTCCTTTGCGAGGGTGTGGGTTGGTAGTGTCTGTAGTAGTCCTAGCCTGGCACTTGTAGTTCTTGTCTGTGTATCATATAGTCATATGTCGTTTACTGCGCTTCGCCCCTCACAGTATTTTCTTGATGTTATTGTCTCCGTTGTTGAGTATGCACTATTTTTCTTATTGGATGTTATGTTTTATATAATGTTTCCTCTTCTCTTACTTGGTTTGGATGTATTTGAGCCGAGGGTCCACCGGAAACAGCCTCTCTACCTCCACGAGGTAGTGGTAAGGTCTGCGTCCACTTTACCCTCCCCAGACCCCACTTTGTGGGATTTCACTGGGTATGTTGTTGTTGTTGTTGTTGATATAAGTTCACGTCGTAATAGTTTAAATTTGGGCAAACAACGCAAATGTCATTAATTTATGAGTAAATTACTTTCCTTTACATGAGTTTTCAATATTACAAATCTTACCAGAATTTGGACTTCGGATACATGTATCTGGCGCGTCTAGATACATGCATTCATAGGGTCAAAATAGGTGTAATTTGTTCCAGATACAATGTATTTAAATGGATTTACATATATCTTACTCTCTTGATTGCCTCTCTCCCTATGTATATGTATTTCACAATGTATCTCGAATGTATTTGGTATCCCAGATACATGTATCTAGTGCGATTCACATGTAGCGGACCCACGTAGTGAGTTTTGGGTGCTCGAGCACCCATTGACTCCGGAAAAAAATTTGTATATATATATAGAAAATATGATAAATACGTTATTAAATAAAAATAAACACCCATAGAACACTAGCAGTCGTGGGTGCGCTGGTTAACACTTGGAAAAATAATGCGCGCGAAGCATGAGGGCGAGGGTTCGAATCCCGTCAACCCCATTCTTTTCTTCCTTTTTTACATTTTCCAGCGAATTTTGCACCTTTTTTTTTACTTTTCCTTTTTTGAATTAAGGGCTTATTTTACTCCGAATTTTGTATTTGTTTTGACTTTTCCTATTCTTAATTAGTTTAGGGTGACTAACTTATTCTTTCTTTTTTATTTTTAACTTTTTCTATGTTTTAAAACCTTTTTCACTGCCCACTTTTATGGGGATTTTTTCTTTTAACAAAAAGAAGGAAATCATTCTTCTTCTTCTTAGTTTTCAAAGAGAAAGCAACCAACCCAACAACAAACTTCTAACTTTTTTCTTTTCAAAATCAAAATACAAAAGCAAGGTAATAAGATTTAATGTTTGATTAAAGTTAGATAATGAAAAAAAAGGGTTAGGGAAATTAGGTTTTGAGATTTACATTGCTTATGGCTAGTACTCTTTAAGTCTTAATTCTTAAAATATATTCCACATACTTTTTTTTGTTACTTGATAAATAGATTTAGACTTTAGAGTCTCACATATTTAGTGTTTTGTGATTAAAAATGTTTTTTTTGAATACTTTTGAAATAATTTTTTTTTCTTACCAACTTACTTGATTCAAAAATTAAATTTTAGGATGTATACAAATAACAAATTGTGCAATTGAAAATTTTGTGCTCATTGACTCATATATTGCTAATTATTGCTTGTGGTGTTGAAAGATCAAATAGATATATTAATTGTTGTTTGGGTTGTTGATAGAAAGTTATAGATTTCAATAAAAATTAATTGAATTATGTGAATTAATTCTATGATAAAATTGATTTGTTTTCCAGAAATTTATCTTTGTAAATTGAGATGGATAAGTATGTCACAAAGTCAAAAATTGGGCATCCAAGTTCTAGCTCTACTCATCCATCTACCGCTTCAACCATAGCTCCGAAAATTCAAAAGAAAACATTTATTTCAGATGTTGATTTAGAATCTCTTGAAGCTGATCCGGGAATTAGAAAGCCCATTGCAGAATATAATCCTAATATACGTGATGATATTAGGAGATATTATATTCTTAAAAAGCCTTGCCAACCTAAGGATCATAAATTTCCTAAAACTAAGTTTGGGAAGGAAATGCGGCAATTTTTTCCTGATTGGTTTAATGGTCGTAAGTGGTTGGAGTATAGCATAACAAAAGATGCTGCATTTTGTTTGTGTTGCTATTTGTTTAAAAATGAATGTGAAAGTCGTGGATATGTGGTTGATGCTGCTTTCACAAAGACTGGCTATAGAGCTTGGAACAAAGCTACTGAAAGATTTAGAGCTCATGTTGGAGATATAAATAGCATCCACAACAAGTGTTTCAACAAGATGCTTGATTTGATGAATCAATCACAGTCAATACGCACTTCCTTTGATAAAAAGTCCCAGAAAGAAAAAAGTGAGTCTCGGCGTCGCTTGAGTGCTTTAGTTGATGTGACAAGATTTCTCTTGAAATTAGGATTATCATTCCGTGGACATGATGAGAGTCGATCTTCTTCAAATAGAGGTATTTTTCTTGAACTTTTGCAATGGTATGGAGATATTAATGAAGATGTTGGAAGCATTATTTTAGAAAAAGCTCCAAAAAATGAAATGATGTGTTCTCCAAGTATTCAAAAGGATATTGTTGATTCTTGTGCTAAGGAAACAATCAAATCTATTCTTGAAGATTTAGATGAGGATTATTTTGGGATACTAGTCGATGAATCAAAGGATGTATCACACAAGGAGCAAATGGCACTTGTTTTGAGATATGTTAACAAAGAAGGAGAAGTGATAGAGCGATTTGTTGGTATTATTCATGTTAGTGATACATCTGCTTGTTCATTAAAGGAAGCAATATACAACGGCCAGGTGATACTTGTTGGGGTTCTCATTATAGAACATTAGATAATCTTATTGTTCTATTTCCATCAGTTATTCATGTGCTTGAATTTACTGGATGCGAGCGTCCAAACAATACTGATAGGCTTGTTGCTAAAACTCTTGTGGATACGATTAAGAAATTTGATTTTGCCTTTATGCTGCACTTGATGTGGAAAGTTCTTATGATGACAAATGAATTGAACTTCTCATTACAAAGGATGGATCAAGATATTGTCAATGCTATGGGATTTCTTGCTCTTACAAAGCAAAGATTACAAAATATGAGGGATAATGAATTCGAATCATTAATGGATGATGTCTCTTCTTTTTGTGATAAACATGATATAGTCATTCCGGAGATGGATGCTAGCTACTTTCCTGGGAAGTCAAAGCGTAAAGCTCTTGATGTTACATATTCTCATCATTTGTGTGTTGAAATATTTTATGCTATTATTGATTTGCATCTTCAAGAGCTTAATAATCGTTTTGATGCTGTGAGTACAGACTTACTTCTCGGTATGGCTAGTTTGAATCTAGTTAATTCATTTGGTAGTTTTGATAAGGGCAAGAAAATGAGGTTGGCTGAATATTATATGAATGAGTTTGACAACAACAAGCTTCGGGATCTCAGTTTTCAGCTTGATAGCTTTATAGTTTATGTCTGTGGTTCTGACAAGAGGTTCTTCAACTTGAAAGGAATTAGTGATCTTGCTAAAGTATTGGTCAAGTCAGATTTGCATCAAATTTGGCCACTTGTTTATTTGCTTATCAAGTTGACTCTCATTCTTCCCGTTGCTACTGCTTCTGTGGAACGAGCTTTCTCATCCATGAAGTATATTAAAAATGAACTTCGCAATAGTATTGGTGATGAATTTTTGAATGGTTGTTTAGTTTGCTATGTAGAGCGTAAGATATTCGCAAATGTAAGCAATGATGCTATTATTTATCGTTTTCAACATATGAAAAGTCGTCGAGCACAATTATAACTTTAAGACTAGAAGTCTCTTTTTGTAATGATAATATTACTAGTAGGTCATTGCGACTTATAACTAGTGATTGTTTTTGATGATGATAATATTAATCGTTGCTTTATTTTTTTTATTAAAGAGTTTGAGTTAGTATACATTTACTTTTTTTATTAAAGAGTTTGAGTTAGTATACGCTTACACTGTGATTTCTAACATGTTTATGTTAAAAGAAGTGAGCACCCACAACCTTTAAATCCTGGATCCGCCACTGTTCGTGGGGTAACATTCTTTTCTATCCTCTATACCTAAGAAACTAGGAAAATAATGAATCGCCATTTCATCTAAAAACTTAAGCTGTTAGAAGTATCATGGATACATAGACTATCTCGCTCGTCTCCCTCCTATTTCACTTGCCTCTCTCCTTATCACACTCGTCTCTCTCCCTATTTCAGTATATCTTGTAGCAAAAATGCATGTATCTAGATGTATTTGATATGAAATTATTAACTAACGAGACAATATGTAATTATTTCAAACTATACACGGAAGAATTAGTAAAAATATTAGGAATGTTTGTATAATTATGTAACTTTTCCTTTCATCATTACAATAGCTTATGCACGCTTTAATTATATTTATTTTCAGTGGATAATAATATAAATATCGAGTAACTATATTTATAAAAGCTTTTTAAAAAATAGAAAGAAAAAATTATTACCTAGTGCATTTGGTCTCTCTTGAGATTTCAAACTCTTGTTTTCCATAAATTTCATATATTTCGTTGATTAGGGGTGTCAAAAGAATATGAAAAATCGATCGAATCTATCGAACCTAATCGAACCGAATCGATTTGTGTTATTTTTTCAATAAAATCATAGACTTTTATTTAAGTGTATAACCATCCCGAACAATTGAAATGGTCTTTTTAGTTTATGAAAAAAACAAAAAAATCCCGAACCGAACCAAATTTACATGTATGTAAATATATTTTATATATTAACAATATGTTAAATTTAATATATAAATATATTTTATGATATTTTTTAAATATTTAAATATAACCTAGGTCCTATGCCTCTAGTGACTGGACAACTTTGAGTCTTTGCTCTTTAATTAACATTTACTTAATTAGGTTTAAAATTGAAAGATATTGTAATAGATACTCTATCAAACAATACAACAAAGCATATGCAAACACTCTTATTAAATGTTTAAGATCAAACAATATGGCAACAAGGTGTTACATTATTGTCTACTTGATGAAGAATTAAAGTGCTTCTTCAAGAATATATTTGCGAAAGAAATATTTTAATAGTAGTATATTTTGAGGTGATATTTTAAAAGTAAAAAAAAATGAAAATTAACCGAACCATATTGATACCGAAGAGAAACCGATATGATTGAGATGGTTTTAAAAAATCTAATTTTGGTTATATATTATAAAATAACTGAAAAATTGGGATGGTATAATTTAAAAAAAATAACCGACTGAACCGTACCATTGACCCCTATCATTGATCACAAGCTACACCTAAAATGATAAAATTATACATCGATATGGTTACGTGACTTTAATTTTATTTCACTAAAATCACATAATTATATTTTCTTATAGAAATTTATAAAACTTTCGTCTTACTAAAATAAATTGTCGAAAAAATTAACCTTTCGTCAAGTGGTAATTTTTTACTCCATATTTTAACTTTTTTTACTTTTTATCTTAAAAAGGACCAACTAGACTCGATCCAATATTTAAAAAGTGTAGTTAATAAATATCAAAAGGCGTTATAATTTGTTGGATAATAAGAAATTGAATTGTGTGGAATAATAGTTACAACTACTAGTTGCATCGAAAAACAATAATTTCTTCTTCTTTTTTGGTAAGTAATTACTTCTTTACAATATTCACAGACCCTTTTTGTTTGAATATTGATTGAGCTATTTTCTTGGAGTATTTTGCATGAGATTTTGAGGATAAAAAAAGCTATGGTGAATTATCATTCATCTGGAGGTTGAAAAAATAGGTCAGGTATTTCTTCTTTTAATTGAGTTTGTATTAGATTAAAAACTAAAAGATATATATATATATATATATATATATATATATCAAGTAAAAAATATTATCACTCAACAAAAGGTTGGATTTTCTGACAATTGTGATTTTTTGTATTAGTAGGTTAAAATTTTAGTGATTTTAAAACTTAATTATGAGATCTTGATTAGTTTTTAAAAAAATCATAATTATTGGACCATTTGTGAGAAACTATCACATCTAACCCAAAAACTAAAGTGAGATTTAGTTTGAACTTATTCGATTTCTTATTTAAACTTTTACATTGTGGATGGATTTAAAATTGTTTTATAAAAAATTGAATATGAAACTTCATATTTCCAAGCGACTTGTAAAACGATCCACCCAAAATTGATTTCCTAATGATTTTTTTCAGTAATAATATAAGGTATTTATGTCTACCCATCAGACTAAGCTCATATTTATAGATATTTTACCATCATACTAGATCAGTCAATATATTTTACTATTTTAGCACTACTCTCAAATATATATGATAAAATAATTAGTTTATAATAAATATAGTCATATTTCTATTTATATAAAAAATAGTCAAAAATCACAGTAAATATACACTGATTATACAATATAGTTTGTCAAAAGTCATAAAAAGTATACACTCATTATAATACAACTTACCTATATATGATTTATACACTAATAATACATTATGATATACTCAAAAGGCTGAATGTAGATTATGCATAAAGTATACGTTGATTATACATGAAGTATACACTGATGAGTTCAATCTCAATTAACTCAAAATCACCTCTAAATTTAGATATGAAACTTCTCGATATTTGGAGTCATTTGACATATAATTCGGCTCAAAATAATCCACATTTTCGGTACGTTGAATTATTTATAAAAAAAAATAACGAAAAAGACGAAGAAGAAGAAGCAACAGTCATTAATGACGAAATTGAAAGGGAAAAAATGCAAATTGAAAGAAAGTAGAACAGTTTGGCCTAATTTGGTAAATTTTAAAATGGAGAACTTTCGCAAATAGCTACTATAATAAACTTAATTATGCTTCAGAGTTATAGTTTGCATATTTACGGGTTGTAGCTATAGTTTTAGCTACCTCGTTTGTATAATTCGCGGGTTTGTATAATTCGCAGGTTTGTATAATTCGCGGGTACATTTGTATAATTCAGTTATTTTTGTATAAACTCGAAATAACGAATTTATACAATTAAAAACATCTGAAGTATAAACAGTTATACAAATTATATTATACAAAATTACATTAAACAAAAGTTATACAAATTTCGAATTATACAAACGTGTGAATTGTGATTATAGCTAAAAGTAGGTCGCCAATTGTAATTAAGGCAAACTATAGCTATGTTAACTAATTAACTAGTTTATATTTGCTTATACGCGTAATTTTCCCTTTTAAAAGGGGATTTTTCACATATAGTCATTCAAAAATAGCTTAATTATGCTCCATAGCTATAGATCGCTAATTACAATTCATAGGTACATGTTATAGTGAGGAGAGTGAGGAGCGAGACTGGAAGAGAGAGGAGAGAGGCGAGCGAGAGAGGGCAGAGAGTGGAGAGAGGATAATTGGTTATATAATTGTATTTATGAAACTACTATGTATATGTATCAATGATTGTATTTTTATATCTGCATACAATTTGAATTCGTATACAATTGAATCGAGTTAAAACATTTGTACTTGTATATCCAATCTCTCTCGCTTTATACAAACACAAATTATACATTGCATTTATATAATTTGTGTTTTTATAAAGCGGGAGAGAGAGAAAAAAAAACACAAGAGAACTGGACAGGGAAGATTTGTATTTGTATAATTATAAGTGTATATGATGGAGAAATATGTATTTGTATATCCAGTCTCTCTCACTTTATACAAACACAAACACAATTTATACATTTGTGTTAGTATAATTTGTGTGTTTTATATAAAGTGAGAGAGATATTGACAAAAGAGAATTTACGAGAGAGACTGGGCAGGGAGAGGACACAGGCGAGGGAGAGATGATTGAAAAGAGGAGAGAGGCGAGCGAGATTCCAGAGAGAGGGGGAAGAGAAGCGAGAGACGAAAGAGAGGAGTGTAATTATAGATAGATGTAAGTTTCGAATTGTAATTAATACAAACTATGTTAACTAATTAGCTTGTATATATTTACTTAACTGCCATAATTTTCCTAATAAAGATATGGAATAAAATAGGAATACCACTCGGCCTTTTGCTTTTTGACCCAAATTTATTTTAGAGAAAATTAGTTATCTAGTCATAATACTTAACATATTTAGTCAAAACAACTACACTTTAAAATATTTATTTAAAATGTCAATATTTTCAAAAAAAAATTGTATCCAGATTTTATTATTTATATTTCCTTTTAATTATCAAAAGAGTCCATCATTGGACCAAATTCTAACCAATAACCGATTAAAAATTAAAAAAAAACAAATACAATACTACCCATTAATATTCTTTCCACATCTTACACGTTTCCCACCTTTCACGTTTCTCAGTTAAAGAATTTATTTCTCCCCACCTTTCAGGTTGACAGTTTCTCTTTCTTCATGTTTTTCTGCTAACCTAGAAACACAAATTATTCAAAGTTCTTATAGATTCTTCAACAAAATCTCTGTATTAATTCAAGGAATTTCTCGGTTGGTAAACAAAATATCTATATTAATTCAAGAAATTTCTCGATTGGTAAAGGTAATTTCGATTATTTATGTAGATTTCTTTTGATTTGTATTCAAAATCACGATTATGGTGTATATTTCGGATTGTATATTTTACGGATTTTCCATCAATTTTTCAATTTTTATGCGAGTTTGTTTAGATATTCATCTAATATTTATGTATTTCAGATTTTTAGTCTTTTAAATAAAATTTTTCTATTTTTTTGTGATTTCGTTTTAAAATTTCAGATTTATTAGAATCTACAAATTC